AATGATGTTCTTTTTTTTCCAATAATTTTACACTGTTGATTCATATTTAGATTGTGGTCCACTGTGACACCCAGATTCCTTTCTGCAGTACTCCTTCCTAGGCAGTCATTTCCCATTTTGTATGTGTGCAACCAGGGGTGAAAGTGACTTAAATTTCTTACAAGCACTTTCTTATTGTGAAACTCCTCTCCTCCCCCACACCATTTGGAGGGCCCTCAGAGCAGGAGGGGAGGAGGTTGTGATTAAGTATGAGTTGCAGTGCTGGGGGCTCTGAGGATGGTGTTGCAGTGAGTGTGGGAATTCAGGCAAGAGATGGAGATATGGGGGGTGCAGGAGTCAGGGCAGCAGGAGAGAGGTGTGGGGTAGGGGGGCACTCAGGACAGATTTGTGAGGGTGCAGGAATCAGAGTAGCGATGGGGTAGGGAGGAACTCAGGACAGGTTTGTGAGGGTGCAGGAATCAGAGTAGCGTGTGGACAGCTCAGAGAGGAGATGGGGAGGGTGCCGGAGTCATGGCAGGAGGTTGGGTGTGTGGGGGACTCAGGGAAAGATAATGGGGGTGGGGCTCAGAGCTGGAAGTGTGGTTACCACGCTGCCTGACTGCCAGATCCTCAGGGCTGGCCTAGGCAGCTGGCCTGGCTGCTGGATACCTGAGGCTGGCTGGGACAGCAGCCGTATTGCCTGGCTGCTGGATACTTGGGGCTAGGACAGCGAACATGTTGCTCAGTCGCCTGAGCTTCAGGGCTGCAGCCTGGGTGCTCTATGGCCACCCAGGAGCTGTGAGTGCTGGCTTGGGCCCTCCAGGGGTGAGGCCTACCTTCCCAATCCTCATATGTCCAGCACTGAGACAGAGTGCCATGCAGGAGGGAGTGGTTTGGACTCTGCCTGCGGAGGATGGGGGACAGAATGGAAGAAGTGAGCCAACCATGCCCAGCAGCAACATGGGAACCTTACCTGTGTATGATGGCCAGCAACATGTACAGCCCCAATGCCAGCTGGCCACTCTCTTTCCAGTATGCCACACTGGGCAAATTGCTTACTTTCACAGATTGTTCCTTCCTAAGTGGAGGATTTTGCATTGTTGCTTATTGATTTTCATCCTATTTACTTCAGAGCATTTTTGCAGTTTGTTTACATTTATTTTAAATTTCATGCCTGTCTCCAAACCACTAGTAATCCCTTCCTGCTTGGCATTGTCTGCAAAATTTATAATTGTACTCTCTCTCATTGATGAAGATATTGAACAGAACTGGACCCAGAACTGATCCCTGTGGGACCCCACTCTTTATGCCCTTCACCATGACTGTGAACCATTGATAACTACTAAGCAGTCATCCAATCAGTTATGCATCCATCTTTTAGTAGTTCCTTTTAGATTGCATTTCTCTAATTTGTTTAAAAGAAGAATATGAGAGATACTATCAAAAGCTTTACTGAAGTCAAGATATACCACATCTACTGCTTCCCCCAAGGCTTGTTACCCTGTTAAAAAAAAGTGATTGTTGCTGTTTATTTGTTGTAAATCTCGCATTAGTATACACACAATCTGAGATACCAACTTAATTTCTTCTTTGTATTCCCTGTTCTCTCCTTTGTTCTGGCTATAATTGCCCATGATCCCTCCAGATCCTAGATCTCCATGTTTTTTACTTACCTATTGGCTTTTGTTTCCTGCTGTGATAAAATCTATTTTAAAGCTTGACTCAGTAGGCTAGCAAGTCTGTATCCAAAGATATTCTTCCACTTCCTCAGTAGGTGAATCCCATCTACTCTCCACAGTCCTTTTTCCCAGAACATGATTCCATGATCAAGGAAGGCAAAGTGATCCTGATAACACCATTCATTCAGCCATCCATTCACTGCTAGGATGCATCTCTCTCTGTCTGAGCCCTTACCCCTGAAACTGCTATTTAAGCTGTAATTCAAGACACTTACTTTAGAAGTTTGCTCTCCTGGCCCATTAAAACATAATTTGTAATCACTTTGGGTATGTCTACACTGCAGCACTATTTTGGAATACATACGGTGCATAACTATTTCACACAATGCATAGTGATTCCACGTCTTGACAGTGCACTTGTTAATCGAAATATCTTTCAAAATAATGGGTGCACTATTCCGACATCCCTGTAAACCTTGTTCCACAAGGATTAAGGGACATTTCAGATAGTGATTAAGCTATTTTGAAATTAACTTGAAATAAGCTATGCAGTTTGTGTAGCTCAATTTGCAAAGCTTATTTCAAGTTGTGTGTGCAGTGTAGATGCATCCTTTGTATAAAAAGACATCTAAGATACTGATTTGATTTCCCCTCTCTATTCCCTGTCTCCCTTTTGTCCCCGCTGTAGCGGATCAGGAAAAAGTCTTTTAGTTCAAACCTGGCTTTAGAGTGATAACCATCTCCTGAATGCTATAAAAACATTTCCTCTTTAGAGGATCTCTGCTAAGACCACAGGGTAACATTAATTGAGTACATTGGCTAAATACTGCAAGCTGCATATATGATAGATGTTTGAGGCCACTTTCAGAGGTACATTCTTTGTGTCATAATACAGTAAAGCCTGTTCTCTCAAATGAGGCATGTTTTCTGAATATTATACAGTTTTGGACTGGGGCATGAAAACTATGTAGGCCCTGAAAGAATGTATCTGTAGCAATTAGATATCTAAATAATGATGTCCAGACAATGCTACAAAAGCCACCTACCCGCCCTAGTAAAAGACAAATAAAATCCCCCAGCAACCCACTGGGGGATTTTAAGTAGGAATAAGGGATCTTCCGGAAAAGGCTTTATTTTCCACAAGATCCCATCTAGACTGGCGCTTTTCTCCGGCAAAAACCCGAGCCGGAAAAAAGCGGCAGCCATGTTCATGCAAATGCCGTGGGGGATATTTAAATCCCCCGCGGCATTTGCAATTCCGAAGTGTCTCATTAGCATCCCTTTTACGGAAAAGGGTGCCAATGTAGACACAGCCACAGAGTTCACAAAGCAATTAAAGAACACAATGGGATTGGCAGTTGTTGCATAGGCAAGCATATCACAACAGAAGAGTGCTGCATCTTCAGGTGGAGAGAGGTCTGTTATGCCACCAGCACCATT